GGGTTTCCTATAATTAGGGGTACCCTTCCCTTTGTGGGCTTCCCCATAATAAGGATAGTATATTGGGGTCCCCCAATTTAGGGAAGCTATCATATATAGGTGTATTCTAGAGGCTCGAGGCGATTCCAAGGGAATCATTGGGGCGACCCTTAGGGTTCTTTCCACAAGCCCGAAACAGAGCTCACCGATACATGACTTGATACTTACCGCAGCACAACATACCCAAAGCATCCCGGAACAAGATCTGGGTACATGGCACATGCCCCCAAACTCCAAACATACCCGAAAGCGAACATGTTTCTGTGGCTTTTACCTTTGCATGCCAGAAGCACGCAGACAGTGATTGTTTTCAGAAACTCCCACATGTAAGGGTTTCTCCAGAGGGTGTGTGTAGAGTTGGGATGTGACATATGAGGAAAATGACGAAAACAGAATGACCTTTGAGAAGTCGGCATGTAATGCTTCAACATCTACTACTGCAGGGTTCACTACAGGGAACTGGAGCCTTACAAATGCAGTGTTTCTCGCAACAGCGACAATGTGAAGGAACAAACAAAGCAAGAGAGAGCGAAGAGCTCTTGTTCATCTTATCTTCCTTGTGGTTATATGCCGGTGCTGTTGTCATTGTGATAGCAAGCTGACTGATATCCTTGTTGCTGTCACTGCTTTTGGTACTCTTTCAGTTTTCTATAGCTTCTATTCTTACTCGTACCACTCAATCTTCTCAGTAGAACTTGACCCACCATGCTCCTCTGATGACATCTTCCTAAACCCTAATGTCTCGACCTGGTCTCACTCATCGAATGTGCCAGGACAACAGCGCGGAAACCAAAGAGGTGACTGCGCCCAAGAAAAAGGAGATTCAAAATGCAGGGTAAATAGTTATAGTCCCCCTTATGTAGACAGAATATGGTTTTGGGTATATTAAAATAAAGTCCCCATATACCCCATATTCTATCTACTTAAGGAGGACTATAAGGGTTTGAAATTTAAATCTGTGATGTATGCTTTAGGTTCTTGGGTTTTGGGTGTACAGCAGCTACTGGGTCATGGAGAATCAAATGGAAGGTGACATGGACACTGGGATGGTAGAGGGGGATCGTAGGAATTATAGTCCCCCTTAAGTAGATAGAATATGGCTTCGGGTATATTATAATAAGACCCCCCCCCCCCCATATACCCCATATTCTATTTACTTAAGGGGGACTATAGGCATTATAGGGTTTATAGTTAGCAGAACCCTTGCCCTTTTTTTGATAATAATACCACCACTCAACCTATTAGACGATTATTCCTATACTCCCCCTACATCTCACCAACTATAT